GGGGGGGGAGAGAACACGCTGCGGCCTAAGTCTATTCGATTGCCACATCTCAAAGTGATCCCTTCCACGGATGAAGCTCCGCTATAGCAGAAGGTCAGAGTGGGTGTGACTAAAGGTTATCCCTCCCCCCTCCAACCCCTGTGACGTAGGGAATTGCTCCCATTGCACATCTTTATTTCATGTGAAGGAGATGAAAAATTGCCAGTTATCTACCAGTCATCGGAGGTTGTGCAGGTACAAGCCCGCCTCCTCAACAGATTTCTGCTGCAACTTTGTCGGCTCGCTAACTTCTCCGATGAACACTTAATGGGAAAGCTGCTCAAGGCTTGGCCGAATAGGGCTAGTCGGCCCGGGTTGTTTCTGGTCGCTTTAGGCTCGTTTATTACATTTTGTTTAGATCCTCACAGACGTTGCTGTGCAGAACGAAGCAGTTCGTGAGCTACAATCGCTCCTACTTCGTGATGTGAAAACGGATCCAATTGGCTGCAAAATGGCAGTCATATCTGCGCTTTCTTTGCTAAATTCGGATGCACAATCGACATTGAAGGTTAGCAATTTTTGGCGGTGTTATTTACTAGTTGGCCTTACGGCGCTATTCGGCTTTGGAGGGACATTTTGCAGTTTCGCTGATTTCTTTTGCTGCTTCCTATTGAATTGCACATCTCATCTTGGTGAGACCTGTGGACTCTTGCCAAGTGTGAACTAAACTCCTGCTATCGCAAACCTTTACACGAATTGACAGGTTTCCACAGGAGACATCGGTATCAATGGATAGGATCCAGCAAAATGCCCCCACTAACCCAAGCTGCGCCGGCCCTTCTATTTAGTTGATTTATGGTGATTCTCTGATATTGAAGCGACTTTTCGCCGCATCCCTAACCTGTACATAGAAATAGCGTCACCTCTTAGAACAGACACTGCACAAGAACTCTGAAATTCAGATGCAATCAAAGATCTCTGCGGCTCTGAATGAGTTCGATGTTGAATTGCTGCCTTCACTGATAGATCTCCTTATTCGACGTCTAGATGTATCTAGCAAAGGAGCGTTCACCAATTTGCTCGTTCAGCTGTCGACAAATCTCCATGTGAACCAATTACGAATTAGACGTACCGGTAAACTGTGGGTGCTTCATTCTAGTTGCTTACTCTTTCAAATGTTGATGGCAGCATTTCAGACGCATAACGCTTGATGGTATTGTTGAGGAAGTGTTTCTCACAAAAATCACCGCAATTTGTGTGGTCGCGGCGGAGAAGCACTGTTGAGTAGGAGGTCTGCATGAGGTTCGTTCAGAATGTTGGGGAGTTTGATGGTAAGAGTCGGCTGCATCGGAATCTGCGTTTCACGAAGATTAGTTGAATACGAATCAGATTCCGGCTTTGTCACGGTTTTGGTTTGACTATTCTTGCTGGTGTGAAAAGAACTTAAGTTTCATGGAGCTGCTCATGATGACTGCTCTGTCGCACTTCACGCCCGAAATCGTCGCAAGAATGGCCTTTCGAACGCGCACCTTACGCTTATCCAGGCGAGTGCGCTGTCCGCCACCGAGACTGTTTTCGATCTCTCAGTTTGAATACTTTCATCTTATAACCTCACAGCACTCACACGCTCGTGAGTGAGCCAGTGGCGTAACGGGACAGGGGAGAAGGCGCATTCGCTCGGTAAGCCTGAGGTGCGAGGTCCAAGTTCGCCTGAGCTCAAGAGTTTTGTGCATAACTTAGTATTTTTCTGATAAATTTTGATGTTACGCCTAGGGGCTTCTCCCATCCGTGGCAAAACAAAAAAGATCTTTGCGTGAGGGAAGAGTTGATGCTAAAGAGTAGGGGATACGCGCCTTATAAAGTGTTTAACGCACTTGTCTCATGGTCAACTGTCATTAAGTACGTTCGCTGAGTATGAAAGGACGTGTCAGGCGAGAGGGTTTGGCGCGACGCCCTCTCCCAGTTGCGGATAGGCGACGAAAATTGGTGTACACGACTAATACGAAACAGTCTTATCCCTTGCTTGGTTCAACAGTTGGTGAAAAACGGGTTTGGCACCGCGCCAAACCCATCCCGTGTGACACGCCCTCTTCATCCAAAGCGAACGTGACTGTGTGAGTGGCAGGTTCTGTAAATCATCTCCCACCAGCTAATTTCTTTTTAAGCCATAGTTTGTTGAAGTTAGATCTGTGATCCAATAATCTGTTTACCTTTTACGCTCTTCTTTATACTTCTTTATTCTCTTTCAGGCGCTTAACTTTGTTTGATGTATTGCTGTCAGTCAATCTGTTGGCGCTACGTACCTGTCCTTTGAGTGCTGCAAATGCCATAAGGCAACGTCTTCTCTCCCCACAGGATAGTTTCGAGTCCCTTAGTGGTCTATTTGGAGAAGCGCTGAAGTTCAAGTTGGTGGGTTTATCTTCTTCATTTTGAAAAGTTTGAATTCAAGGAGTAGTGTCACCTACCTGCGTCTAATTTATGGGCGTCTAGTTATCACCGCAACCCCTCAAAGTGCGTAAAACATCTAGTGTGATATTGCGGAAGATTTCCGGAGCTTGAGGATGACCAATGGTCGTTTTCAGTAAGGGCTGTGGTCCAGTGCCACTGGAGGCTCACTTCCGGATCCAAAGCTTTCTTGAATTTTCCATTCGCTTGGCTGCACAGTCTTGTTGGCTCGGGTACTGGTGCTGGTTTAGCGCGGCGCCATTCCGTTCCTCAGCAGATGTTGGAGAAGACAAGCGACAGCAACTGGAGGAGCGGGTTGGCGCTGCACTAAATGCAATGTCTCCTGACACGCCCCGGCATCTGCAACGAGCAAGACTGCACTTCTCTCTTTCTGTGCCATCGATGGCAGACGCACCTCGCCTCAGTACCGAATTTTTCAGTGTTCTGAGTGTGTCTTTCAAATTACCTGGGGTCAGTTTTTTGTGACCTTCGGTTTCTGTACTTTCGATATTTATCATTTATTTCGCCTCCTAACATCTTGTATAATCTGGCTATCTGTTTTGCAGAGTTCTGTTACTAATGTCCTGAAGGACTACCTTTGCTTATGTGTGGTACCATTACTTTTGAGTCTGTGCTCCCTTCCTCGTGACACTTGAAGCGATCGCGGGTGTACTTCTGAAACGAATTCCGTCTTGGAGGGGGCATCTTGCACTCTCAATAGTTTTCTTGGTTAGAATTAATAGATCTCGCTTCGGTCGAACTTCCGTGAAACTGCGAAATTGCTTGAGTGAGCCACATTGTTTAAGGGATTTAAAGGTTCTCACAAGGTGCCCTATATAAGCTTAGCTGAAAAATGAAAAATCCGGCGCAGCTCGCCCTTGTGGGGGCATGGAGTATCGTTCCATGCCCCCACAAGGCCGAGCTGCGCCGGATTTTCTTTGGCTTGTTCAAAAAGAAAGACAGAAAAAATTCTGAGATAGTTTTGTCAAGCTAAATTCCCTACTTTCAGTTATGCGAACGCAAACATCTCGTCCATTATTTCTATAGCTCAACATAGTCTATGGTCAGCGAAAGAAAATGCTCAAAAATTCGGAGCCAAACTTTTCAAAGAACTTTTCCTGGCTTCACCCAAGAACAGAGAGGTAACTAAGGCTTGTCTTAATTGCTTAGTACTCATACTCTCTTTACTGCTTTGAAACGCTACCATTTGGATATACAGTCATTATCACTGAAGTCAGTCGGGGCGTGTCAGCTGCGCGTGGGTCTCGGCACAGCCCAGCTCCTCCTCCTCCAATCAATCGTTGCTGCTTCAGGCGTGTAATGGGTGCGTATGGAGCTGGTGCCGTGTCAACTTGCAACGCTGACACGCCCCGTTTTAATTTGCCTTTAATAACCCTGTGTCATCTAAGTTTCAGCTGCCTACTGGTTGTGTTTCAGCTCACTTTGAAGACGATGTTGTCTCACTCTGTGCACTCAGAAGGTGAATCTGAAGCGGTACTGTGTGCGTTTAAGGAACTTGTTGACGCAAACCCAGAAGCGATAGAACCTTTCATGCCTCTAATATCGGTATGTTTTTGCTTACTGTGCGAACTGCTTCACTTATTTCAAAGGTTTCCTGCCTCCAAGTCTGCTTCCAAGTCTTTCACCAGCTCCTTATTCTGATCTCCTATATTTCTCCATTTTTTCCTATTTATTCTCTCACCCTTTTTTCCTACATTTTATTGCCTGTGGGCGCAGTTCGGCTTGAGGAGGCATTTTGCATTTTCGCTTCTTCCCATTGTCTTGTCGAGCTATACAATTAGAAATATATCATATCCTGTGAAGCCTTGAAGTGATACCAGTCAAAGTTTGTAGAAACCACTCGTCAACACTTTTGACGCAATAGATACGTCGATGGAAAGTAGCGAAAGTGCAAGATGTCCCCCCCCCCAAGTCAAATGCGGCAGATCGTGGAGTCATTTCTGGTTGGTCACCTGGATTCTATGACTTTCTCGAGTTTTTCAGGAGTACTTCTTCATTCTTGGCAGAATGTCCATGGAAAATCTCAAGAGATTTTTCCGTGCCATATTCCGCCTGTATGCTGCGAGACCGTCAACGATGACACATAAGGTTGTCTTTTGCAATGTTGTCAGCAGAGAAGATGTGAGCGCTGCATGTGAATAAATAGCCCGCCTCCTCTGAGGTTAGGCTTGGCTGCCCGTAGCGTGTTTCGAATGTCCTTTGACTGTCCGATAGCTAGGCAGACAGTCGGCTTTCAACAGTGCGATGACCAATGATATCGACAGATCCAAGCACCGGCTCGATATTCACGTGCTGCGTCCACGTACTGCTACTGCTGTCTAATACCAGCCCCTTCTATCGAGTACTGCTCTTAAGACAATGATTGAGTGGTTGCTACTTTCAGGATAACCTGAATGACATGATACCGCTGTTCCTGCATTCAGCAGACAATGTGCATCCAATTTTCGGTGTAGGTGGGTGCACTAATCAAGCTGGAGACGGCGCTGCTGCTTGAAGAGTGAGCTTCCTTTTATCATAGAACGTTCAAGCACTGCATGTTTACTGTTGTGTTGGTGACGAATTCTATTGTTATCACAAGAATGCTGAGTTGTGGGCAAAAGTCGTGCCCCAGGCGGGAGTCGAACCCGCACCTCACGCTTTCCGGGCGAGTGCGCTATCCGTTACGATATGAATTTTACTTGGATCTGCAAGGGGTATTGTAGAAGAAGGGCACAGGCTCATGAATGGGTCGAAAGCGACGAGTAAATGAATGCTCTATACATTCGTGTGGGGTACTTCTTTCCGTCCTGGTGTCTCAGAATCCATCGAATTGATGTGAATGGAATTGTGCCTGATAAAGCGACCAGCTTCTGAGAAACAATCGTATTGAGTTCGTCTAAGCGGGTCAACGGCTGACACCATCCACCTTTAGGAACCCGCATATGAGCGACTGGACCATGGAATTTATGCAAGTGCTTCGGGCTCATGCAATTACTGTGGACCTATTCGAGCTCATTTGCGATAACGGATGGCTCCACCTTCTCGAGACGGTGAAAAGAGTGGTGCAAGGTTCGTCCTATTAGGACACGTACGCGTATTGCAATTTCACGAGTGGAAATAGCACTCCACTTGAATCAACCAAGCTTCTCTCCTCCGAAGTCACCAGTGCACCAGTGCACCAGTCACAGAGAGAACGACTGACACAACAAGATCTTTTGCAGCTCCAACTCGATTAAGGCGCATGTGAGGGAGTTGCAATCCATAACCCAGAGATGCAGAGGCGTGGTTGCGTACCTCACCTGAACGTAGCGCTTCTTGTGAGATATTTTCGTCTTGGGACGATTAGAATCATGTTTTTGTCGCAACACAAGGCGGGATGATAGTTTTTTCAAATAGGAATGTTCCACGGAGGCAATCAATCCTACGTCGTACTGGAACGAAGTATGCAGCCGCGCCCTCCACAAGCAGCCACGCCCCCCCCCCCTGTCTTTTGGATATGGAGTGTGACTGAAGTTGAATTCATGACGCATTTCATAGGAGCCGGTCAGCGTTAAACTTGAATCTTTTTTTTGTCATGCTCGAAAGCTCCTTGCTACGGGACCTCTTGGAAATAAAAATAGCTCCATCCATCTTCATTGTTCGTATCCTTTTGCAGTATGCCTCCTCCCCTCCCTTCCTCTTGCCCCTGAGGGACATGGCGCCAATTTTCGATATACTGTAGATTCATCGTTTTCTAGACCAGTATTTTAATCTCACCAGACAAGGCGAATAACGGCAAGTGACCTTTAGAGAGGCGTGGCGGGAACAAACGGTGAGGAAGAAGAAGAAGAAAACTCTGGGGAGGCAACGTTTCTTTCACTGGTCTGTTGATGTGCTAAAATATGTAATGCAATAGAAACTGTAGCTAGCTCTTGTAGCCATTAAGGAATATCATCTATCAGAGTTGGTATCTTACAAATTAAGATCTCCGACTAGGGAAGCTGATGTCCAATGCGCTCTAAATTTGATCGACGAGGCTCGTACGTCTTCTCCCCACGTCAGGACATGCTGTTATGACGAACTGTCGGAGGTGCTCCGAATGTGCTTTGGATGTTCCAAAAGTACAACAATGGTTTGTCTTTTTTGGGGTAATTGCTTTTTGTTTGTTTTTGTGACCTCTTTTCAACAGCCAAGCGAAATCATGATTAGGAGTGGTGACCCCTCTGCAGTGTGAAATTTCGGATTTTTTCATTTTCACAGTTTTCCACAGTTTTCTCTAATTCAGAACCAATGGCTTACGGTGTTCGTAGAGGAATTTCGTTCGGACTTCTTCACGGATTCCTATGAACCTTCTAGGTACTTGACAGTTTTCTGCCTATACTTTCATATTTCCTTTCTGCTCAGATTCCTTCCGCTTTGGAAACGTCTAACCCTGAGCGAAAATTTTTCATTTAAATTCACTCACTGTTCAGAGAGTTGGAAAGTGAGCGATATGTTAACTCTGGCACAAGTCTATGGTTAAAGTGCTCAGATGGTCAAAATCTAGGCGAGGCTGTACCGCTTCTGGAGGCTGTCATGGTATTTTTCGATTTGTAACGTTTTCCTACAAGATCTTCTCCACAAGAACGATCCTACAAGATCATTTTGTAACAACTTTAGGAGGCGATTCGTCTGCAGGAGACGTGGCCGAATGCCGATACTGTGGAAGCATCTCAACGAGATCGATGGTCGCGTATCTTCTATGCTCTAAGTAGGAAATATTTCTTACCAGTTGAGCTAAGGCAGCGTTCAGACTTCGCGACTGCAGCGCTTCGGTCGCGCGATTCGACGATCGATGCGCATGCTTTCGCTGCATCGATCGCGTCGAACGCGCGACCGAAGCGCTGCCATTGCGAAGTCTGAAGGCTGCTTAACACACACTCTCGTGGGGAACCCACGGTAGCTCTCAGTGAGTCAGTATGGTTCATGGGACGTCACTTTCCACGGGTCAGATAA